CAGAAGAACTGAAACCATTTGTGCTTAAAATACATTACATGTGTGCCTCAGCTGCAAAACAGTTACTTAAAAGACCCTAAAGCACTGATTTAATGAACTGGGGAGTCAGAAAACCCAAGTGCCAGTCTTGTTGCCCATGACCCATTTCTGTGGCTGTTCAGTGGGGCAGACAGACCCACTTCCCTCCCTCAGCGGGTGGTGGGAGGCATAGTTGGTGCTTTGATGGTGCCCCACGCACTGCCTTGCACACAGACTGGACATCACCTTGTCTCAGTTTTCCTTCCAGTGTTTTTTGCTGAGTGAATTCATCAAAGCTGGTGGTAAAGTTTCCCTTCAGCTTTTATCCTCATTGCATTCTTTAAATATTTAGTACAAGCATGTCTTTACATCACCTCGACTGAGGTTGAGTATTTCCTCCCAGGAGCTCTGGTTGCTGATGGAGGTGAGCCAGGGAGAAGGCCAAGGCCAGGGAACGGGAAATGTCCCTGCAGAGCTAAGAGGGCACCGGGGAGGACACTCTGCTGAAAAGAAGAAAAATCAGCAAAGGCAGAGGGAGAGCGCAAAGGAAATGGGCTAAACAGGCAAATAGGGGGACTTAGGTTGAGATGAGGTGGAGAAGGTGCTTGGCTGGGGATGATTTGCTATGGTGCTTTCAGAAGGATGAGAAGACAACCTGGATGGAGACAGAGAAAAGCCAGTGGGGACAGACAGCTTGCCAATTTCATTCGGCAATAAAGAGAAAGAGAGAACTGAGGACATATCTAGAGGAACAGGAGTGGGTAATAACAGTCAATAATAATTACAGACTGAACAAAGTGTTCACTTCAACTTCAGCACCAGATGACAGCAATCACTCGCAACCTGTACAGCAGGAGCTACCTGGTAAGAACCAAAACTTCTAGAAATTATATTTAAAAGCAAACATTTTGCCCTCCTGCTTCCTTCTCACCCCCCAAACTATCTTTTATTCATTTTGATTTTTAATAGATCCCCTGGGAAGCTAGAAGCATGTTGCTGCTGGGACAATTGCCCACCAATGTATATGCTTTAGAATTCTCTTTATTAAAATCTTTCTTTTTAAGAAACACAAATTGAAACACTTTGCAATCACTTACACAGATCAGTTAATACTGGTGACAGTTCCTACATAATTAAACAAGTACTAACAAATTCCAACTGTTTACAAGCCAAAACTTAAATTAACAAGATTATATAAGCTCAATAAATAGTACATCTGGTCCAGTTCAAGTATAATTCAACAAATCACAGCCTTAATCCTTAGAGAATAGAAAAACCCTGAATATAACCAGCCTAACACTAATTTAGTGTTAAAGCCAGTATGAATCTTTGTCTAATCTTATGGGGCAAATGTTTAATTCTTTTATTTTTTACTTCAAAGAAAGTAAGTTGCAGATTGACATTAAAGACTATTTGAGATCAATACAGACTTCACAAAGATGAAAAACATAGTCCCTATTAAAAAAGTGCAATCTTTGGTTGAGATGTGTTGAAATGGTTTGTATGTATTAAGGAAGCTCCTTTTTAAATATCAACATTTGTTTGGCTAGACCTGAGCCTGCTTTGTGCTATATATATATATGTATTAATAAACAGCGTGGATTATAGTGAAGATGAATTATGCCAACTAAAAAAAAGTCAAGATTTTAAATATAATAACTCAAAAGAAACAACACATTTTTACACAAGCTGAGAAAGGTAAGCAGCTGCCTACAGTGGCCTTCTTCCTCAGCAGAATAGGTAGTAGAGAGAAGTTGAGGAGTTGAGTGCCTATCAGCATTGCATGATGGCCTGTTGGAGAGGGAAGGAGATTATCTCTGAGTTCTCAAAGTGCCTCAGGCTGAAAACTGATCATAGGGATTGTGAGGAGCTGGTTGGGACTCAGGATCACTTTTAACTGCTTTCAAATGTTGAGTTTTAGAGGGAGAAAGGACCTTCTCAGAAGGGGAATTGCCCATTTAGCCATAGCCAGGATTTTGCAGATTGCTGTTGTGTCAGGACAGAGCCTAAAGGGATGGGTTGTCCAGATCATCTCTACAAATGTCTGGGTCTGATCATGTTGACGGGGCTGGGCACTGCACCTGCATCACTCACCTGAGTCATCTACCTCTCGAAGAGGAAACAACATAGGGCAGAGGTGCCATCTGGAGCCTCCTTCTTCCTCAGTGCCAAGCAAGGGCCTGTAGCCATGACCCAAACGACGTATCTGGAGCCAGGACAGTTGCTGGTAAGCCTTGGTCAAGACTCCAGCTTTTGGAGCCCTGAGTGGAGACCAAAACTTAAGTGATCAGGGATGAAGGATACCAAGGCCCACTCTCTCAAGAAGGGATTTTGCGTGTCTAATGCAACTGGCCAGGAAAAAAAAGGAGGTTAAATATGCAAGCTGTGAATAATGGGAGTGAACCTGGTTCAGAACCAGAGGAGGGGGAAAGTAGTTTGAATCATCTCCCTTAAATCCAAAAATAAGCACCTGGGTAAACACTCCTTTTAATTATTCTTCTGCTGCCAGTCAAAATCGCATGGTTACCTATGCTCTCCCTGCCTGCCTGTATCCACCTGTTGTGTTTTCAGAAAGTCTGATTTAAAGGTCTTTGGCCTGGGAAAGTCTTTGTTGTGGATTTGTGCCATGCCTATAATAAAGGCAGTGGACCTGTAGCTTCTACTGCAATACAAATAAAGAATAATAACAGTGATACTTTTCTCATTTGAGGTTACCTGGGGATAAAGTTGCTGGAGGCATATGACTTTGATATACAGGCAGTGATGTCTCACATCCAATTAAGCTTAACCACATGGTCTAACAAGCTCCCATTAGGCCGCTGAGAGCCCCAGTTTGATAGCAGAGTTAGCTTCAAAGATTTGATGCTTGCATTTGTAGTGATTTCCTTTCCTTGTGCTCAGATTGTGCTGAAGGGCATGAAGGGAACTTCATATTCAGATGATACATGACCAGCCTGAGAGCTGTGCTTTAGAAGATGATTGCACAATCTTTACTACCATTTTTGTAATCCTACAGCTTGCAATACAAACTCTTGCCCTAACAGCCCCGTGCTCAAATTTCACTGCAATGTGAAAAACAAACAGTCAAAGAAAAACCCAGCCCTTGAAGGAAAAATACCTGGTTTGCAATTTTTTTTTTCCATAGGGGGAAAAAAAAAAGCGCTGTTTTAAATGACTGATGGACCCAAGTCTTAACATACTTCAAGTCTGGACAAAGGAGGATTTAGACTGTAATGTTTTTCATTTACCCTTGTCTTTTGGACAGGCCATGTCTGAATGTGGGATGTAAAGAATCCCTCAACTTGCGAGAAGCAGGAATTCCAAATATGAAATCTGAACCCACCTCTGGTAAAAATGAGTGGAAAGCACAGGCCATGAAATGGAACAGGGCTTCAGGCAACACCACCAGGCACCCCGGAGACACGCTGCCTGGCTACAGGGTACCGCAGAGAATGAGCATGGCTGCTGGCCCCAGACAGAATGGAACAAATACTTTGGTGGAAGCAGCTTTGGCAATTTAGCCACTTGGCAATATTTTGCAACATCTATGTCATTCTTAGGGATGGCTAGAACCTTCTGGGAAACTATTTCCTCTGCACAACATGTAAACAGGACATCAACACCAGCAATTTTTACAGAACATACTGTGATGAATATTAGAGTCAGGCAAAGAATGGAAATACATCTGCAGAGCCCTATCTGTCTACGTTGCGTGGGGCATTTTATAAAAGCATAACTCTGAGATCAATTCTGGCAATGGTTTGCTATACGTATTCACTTTACTACACAAAGCCCTATTGAAATGAACCAGAAACTTGTGCAGTGCATTTCAAAGGGACTTTGCAAAATACGAAGCAACAACTGCAGAAACAATAGCTCATAATAACGCCAGAGCTGCTGGTGCATCCTGTGTTCTCATTGCAGCAGTCTGTGAGCCATCAGTTGTTGTATTCACCTTAAAAAATTCAGGGAAATAAAATACAAAAACAATATTAAAAGTCTGGCATCTTTCCATGGAAACCAGGAAAATTCAACATTGCCAAGCTGAGGAAAAGCAAGCTTGAAAGAAAACAAAAAGACCCCAAAAGCAAGGATCTTGAATAAAATGTCTAAAAGAGACATGGTCCGAACACGTGGCACTTTAAAAAGCCTCTTGTGAGAGTTTCAAGTCTGTAAGACTCAAAGTTGGCACCCTTTAGAATTATCAAAAAGAAGAGTTTCAAACACAACGGTACCTGGAGAACATCCTGATCACACCATGGAAAATGCTGAAAACCAGAGCAGGTTCACTGTCAGCACATGTATTTGAATCGCTCCCGCTGTGCTGGGTTCAGGCTATAAGGTCCCTGGGGCAGACTGTGGCTCCCTCAGTATTCGTACAACACCGTCAGTGTACAGTCAGTGCTTAACAACACAAACATTTTATCATTTCACCAAGCTCTAAGACACATGGAGGTGGATGCTGATGGGGTTTATATTATGCCATCTACTGACTAGTTTTAGCGCAATGGCTTTAGATGTCCTATGCAAATCCTACTTCTCACTGGGGCAATGAGTGAAAAGGCTAAAGATATTTTAAGCAACATTAAAGCCTATTTATAGTCACATCTCCTTTCCTTCCAGTGTCCACTGGAGGATGCTGAATGCTTCTAAATACTCCGCCTGACCTGATGTGTCACATCAGAATTAAAACTTTAAGAATCCCTGAGAATTCTGATTTAATCTAGGAAACCACTCCCAGCACACAGAGTGTGAGAAAGAATTGCTCCACTTCTTACAGATATGCCAGCATTGCTTCACCGTGGGAAACAGTTTCAGGCATTTTGGTTTTTAATGGCACTCTGGGCATACATGCATGGAACATGCTCTTTATTTCCCCTCCTCTGTACAGTGCAAATTGACAGTTATATCATAGAAATAAAAAAAATAATGTATCAGCATTCACTCATTATATCTCTTCCAGTTCATCCACGTCATAGTTTTTACTTTGCAAAGTGAGGAACAATGCCAGTGTCATCCTGAGGCAGATGGCTGCCTTCTTCCTTCATTTTCAGGCTCTCTTCTGCAAGCTGGGTTAGATACTTCTGCAATCACATCAAAAACAAAGCATCGTTACCAAAATTGAAAACATTCAACATGGGATGCTTTATGTCTTTTCAGAGCTCTCATGCTCTTCTATCATCCCAAAAGGCAAGAAAGCACATAGAAGCCCCATTTTCGTGAAAATTCAAGCCAGGAAATACAGATGGGTCAGGCAAACTACCTGAGTACATGGAGAGCCTCAGAAGTTCAGTGATTTACTCTGTGCCACAAGGGGACCTGGTGACAGAACCAGGAGGCCCATGACTCCCCATCAGTCTGTGTAACTAGACCTCATCTCTTCTCCTTGCAAACTCTCTACTCCCACATGCTATAGGGCAGCAACTAACTCCACTGAGCCAACTGAACTATGCTAGTGTTAAGACTGGTATGTCAGAAAATAGATGAAGTTTCTGAGTCACAATTTAAAACATATATACTACTTTTTCAGCACATCCAGTTCAGAGATATACCTTTTGTACAAGAACATTTGTTTTAAGGGAATAATCAAACTCAGTAACAATTAACACAATTTAGCAGTCTGGCTAGACTATTTACATTTATTGTGTTTCTCTAAGATAAAGCCTTTCAGTGCTTTAAGTACTCAGTGTGATTTAAAAATACAGACGTGGCCAGTGAGGCTTTCAGCCTTTTGGCAGTGCTCTTAGTTGGCAGAGCTGCACGCAAAATAGACGATGGACTGCTGTGGGTCTGAAAATGGTGCTGAAAGTATTTATTTAAGGTCAACAGACCTAGAAATGGATGAAAAGAAGCTTCTTCAGCAGCAGCTAGTGTAGAGACACATGGAAAATTCCCCCATAATAATATAGAGATGTTCTTATTAATGACTTGTACCACTTGCAAGACTTATACCACTTGCAAGTTTTATTAGGATCATAAAACTCTCTTTTCTAGCTGATTATTCATTGCAATTTGTTTTGAAAAGACCATCTCACATCACTGCAAAATTTTATCTACTTGCAGGATTCCCCCAGAGTATGGTTTACTCTTTGGCATCCATGAGGAAGAGGTGAAATGAGAAATGGATGTAAAAAGACTAAGGGCTGTGTTAGGACTGCCAGGTTGTCTCACGTAAATACAGGTTTGGGATGTAAAAGGCATCTCTGAAAGGGACTCAGTAATAGTAATGAATGGGCATACCTGTGGCAAAATGACGACTGCACCCTTGTTACTCTGAATATAGAGCTTGGGCTGTGGGAATTACACAACTCTCAGTCTTGGTCCCTGGGTACAAAAATCCATGTGGCAGAAAGCCAGAGTAAATTTTACAGTAGTATACAGAGATATAGGGTCCATAAAGGCTGGGAGAAATGATCTGTACACCATGAACTGTAATAAATCACTAACACTTGTCATTGGCTCAGATAACCCATGCATTTTTGTTTTTTAATGATTACCCACCAAATTAAGACTGAGGTTTATCCACCACCTTTAGCTGACATTATCAGCTATCATGAGTACCACAAACACCAGTTTTTTAAGTGCACAGACCAGACATTCAGATTAATTTATAGCAAAATGACAGTCAAGGAAAATATATTTTTTCATTTAAATACAAGTTTTGATGAATATTGCATAAAGCCAGTGGAAAACAGGGTAAAATGCTGCACTCAGTTGCCAAGGTAGCTTACACCAGATGAATCTGACAGCTTTTTGTGGTAGTGGTGGGAGGGATGGCCAAATGATGGATTTTTTGGACATGGAAAATGCAGTGGATCTGTAAATATAAATACCACCTGGGAAAATCATTTATTAAGCTGAAGAGAATGGAAAATTAAAAAAATTCTGCAAGGCTGTCAAAGAAACAGTTGAATTTTTTTCAGTGATTGCTGTTCTTCAAGGGGCACCATACTCAGATAAAGTTGACTATTTTACTTCACAACAAAATCATCATCATCTAAGCAAGGCTTTTGGAAGAAAATGGGTAAACAAATTGTTTCATTTTGCATTCAAATCCAAACATTGAACGTGTATTTCAGATATGGCTCCAAGGAGATCACACGAAAGATGACAAGTGGCAAATCAACTATAAAAGACTCATAGCCATGACAGCATTTGGGACAATGTCGTTGTCATTGGACAATGGTATTTGTCATGTAGGCCAGACAACAGAAAGACAGTCTGCGGTGGCAGCAGTCCCATAGCTTCACATACAGTAAATGTTAGAGTCCATAGTTCTTATGTTGGTGGATACACTCATTAAATTGCATCATCATAGGAGAAGACTGACGTTTGTTGCGGAGTGCATAAATAAGCATTATTGCAAGGTTCTAGTAATACAGAAAAATTAGTAGAATTTGCTGAGTTTCCACTTGAGTGGGCAAAAGTTGGGTGAGACATTTGCTTCATCCATTTAGTAAGATAAGAGGTACAGCTCTACAGAACAGTCTGTTTTCATTACCATATTTGACAGATCTAATTTTAACAGCTTTTGTGGTCTTTTTTCTTTTATCTCAAGTCAGTGTTAGATATCTACCACAGTGCTCATGGGAAATGTCTTAACGGGGAGAAAAAGAGAGTTTTTTCACACTGACTCAGTTTTAGTTGGACCTTTTTTTTCTATGACTTTAACAAAATAACTTAGAAAATGAAAAAAATCCCTCTTCTTCCCATGGGACCAGTTGCCAGGCGCAGGGGCTGGAGTTGCATCTTTGCTTTAGCATGAGTTTCTCTGGGACAGACTCGCGTGGGATACACAGCCTGTACTGAGTGAATCTCTGGATTTTTTTGTATGAAGCAAAAAATGGCATGCAAACTGGGCACTTGTTTTTCGAGCTTACACGTGGAGGATCCATTATTAGCAAGCATTGCAGATCTGCAGGCACAGTCTTTGAAAGCCAGAGGCCTTTGTATGATTACAGCTATGTAACTTCAGGAAAGTTGAGAAGAAAATTCTGCCAGAGAAATTACTTGAGTGTTACTAGGAAAGCCAATGCCTACTGGCCAGCTAGGGCAAGATAGCTATTACTTGAAGAGAAGCAGAGCTCTGGCATTTACTGTGGGCAGAGGAACAGAGAAAGAAGGAGCAGCTTTGCTTTGCTCTTTCATGACTTTTGCTAAGTGTGTGCAAGTGCCAACAAAAGTGTCTTCTGTAGTGTACACACCCTGCACAGGCAGGGACTCAAGGAGATGAGAGGCAAGGTGACCTCCTCAGAGGAATCCTCAGCACAGGGCCGTTAATGCTCATGCTGTCATGACTGATACTATCAACTGCGCATCTCAAAAGTGATAAAGGTAGGGTCTTTTGATTGAACTGCAAGCACCCGTGGTCTCTGTGTGCCATTACCAAGTGCTGATATGCTTATGGTAGATTTTTATGGAAACCACACAAGTAATTACATGCTTCTGCATAACCTTACAGAAATTATTCAATAGTGGTGTTCTGCGTGGCTGAAACGCTGTGCTGTTCTGTAGCACAGGGAGGTGATTTCAGTGGGTCACAGGAAATGCCTCGGAGAGCCTGTGCGTCACAAAGTACTGCGTGCTGAAACACGCTGCAGAAATGCACGCTAATGCAAAAATAAGTCTGGCAACGTTATTAAACAAGTGGCATGTTTAATGCTCCTGAAATTAAGAAATAAGAAAGCCTGCTGCTGGGCTCATTCCCAGTGACAGAAACGTCTGGGACCCTCAAGAGCAGAGAATTAAAGATCTGAGTTGCATGCTGTGCTAGTGACAAGGACCAAAGGTAGATGAGAAGAACAAATTATCACCTGGCCCCATTGCATTTATGACCCAGAAGCTGATTTCAAGGATCTGGGAGTGAGGAATTAGTGTGCTAACATTTGGAACTACTGAAAAGTTTTGCTTATCTAAATTTCACTTCATCTGAATTTTGTTCACAGAATAAAAACTAGTTTTTCGTAGCATCATCAGTCTTATGCACAATCCACCCCATGAGCTAGTTGTTAGCTAGCTTCAAGTGTGTTTTTACCTGAAGATTTTTGTAGTGAACAGTGCTTCTGCAGTGACTTGTCTTTGCTGTCTCTTCATTTGTGTAGAAGAGTCCACAGAGCTTGCAGTAAAACCCAGTTCTAGGCACCACAAATTCCACACCTATTGAGAAATTCTGAATTACATTCAAATGTCAATTGAAACCCTTCCCCTCCACAATAAACCTGTTTTCAAAGAAAAAAGTTGCTGCTTAGTTAAATGACATAGATATGAAGACTGAATCCTGGATTCATTTCTGATTTCCCTGATTTTGCAATACTGAGCTGCAGTTTAAAATCCTGTGCATTGCAAATACACCTTCCACTTCTCTCTTAGATACTCTACATATTTAAAAATGTACCTTCTCATGCATAATATTGACTGGAAACTTCACTGTATAACCTCAAGGGCTAGAATAGCAATAGTAATTATTAGCAGTAAATTGATGCTTAAGTTACACAGATTGCTCTTTAGGATGTACTTCTTCCAGGTGTTTTACTCATGATCAGTGTTTAACACAGCAAAACCAATACTCTTCCTTATATCGAAAGTATAATCAATACTTTTATGACAAAGACTTTTAAATTACTAAGTATTTTTATATGTATTTCATATATAGTACAAGGCTCATCAGCAACATTAACAGCTCTCTTTTGCCATTCATCTGGAATGAAATTAGCAATGAGCTTTAATCAAAAGCCCGTTTCTTTCAACACCTACCCCTCTGTCATATACCCTGTTCTTTCACTCTCCTCAGATCTGTTCCGAAAAATAAATATAGCAAGTAGCCTTAAAGTGACATCTTGTTGTAAGCTCTAGGTATTGCAGTGGGCAGCATTGCAGGCCGAGTGGCCTGGGCAGCTGAACGTACCCAGGGGAATGCTGAGTTCGGTGAAGACGTCCTCTTGTTCCCAGCCTGGTGGAGAGTGCCTTCTTTTAGACTCTACCTCCGGGTATTCCAGAGATCTCATTTCCAAGTACCTAGAATTTGCTTAACAAATGAATAAATGTATTGAATGAAAACAGTTTATTAGTTTAAAGAGACGTTTGTAAAGTTCTTGGGAACGCTTTCTGGGTGGAACTATAAGCGAAGTAAGATCTGGAAAAAAATGCTTTTCCATTCAAATCAGAGGCCTACTCAGTGCAACTCCAAAAGCTGTATTACACTGTCCAGTCACCCCTATTTCTCCCAGTAGACCATTTTTCTATTTCTAATTTCATATTCATTATGTTTTTTCTTTACATATTTTAATCTCTAAATAGATCTATAACATTATACGTGCCTCTGGCACAAGCATGGTCCGACTGCAGCTCCGTAACCACGTATGGTACTGCATGACCAGTGATGGAGATGGGCTAACACAGGGGCTGTTGAGAAAGGAGAGGCCAGCAGGACCTGCTGAGAGCAAACCCCCAAAGTGCCTAAGGAGCTGTGTGGGCAGAGCAAACCTTCCTCTTGTAGGACTTCTGCAGCATCATTGTCATCTTCTCCCTGGAGCCACTCTTCTCCTCAGCTCTCCAAAGGATAGTTTCTGCTTTATGGCTCTTGGCCACTTGAAGATTTTGGTTCCTGGCCAGTAGGGATGGGACAGTTGGTCCCTGCTGACTGACATTAATGGACACAGGCAGGAGATTCAAGGTGTGGAAAACAGTGGATTGATTTGCTGAGGCAGATAAAGCCAGTCAAAGGAACAGATGCTCTCCCTTCCCAACATGTGAATTGCTTTTATTTAAAGAAAGAGAAATTTGTTATCACAGAGTGGCAGAACTGCAGATAAACTGGTTTGATTCCTATTCTTCAGTTCTTACATCAAAGAACTAGTTCTCTTACCCTGACAAAATTTCTATTGCATTGCAAATTTCACCTAGATAAGGGATATATTTTCTCAAAAAACAAACATATTTTTGCCCAAACCAAACCCTTCCTGCCTTTCAAGTCTGTACTTCAAAGATCTGCAATTTCTGGCTATGAGAATGAATTTTTCTTCATTGTTTTAAATATGTCTTTTACATGATCTAAAAGAAAATAGTACAAAATTCTGACTGGTCGGCTTTCAAGTTAACTTTATGCCCATCCCAGGTTTCCAAATCTGCAGTAGAGATCCTGGAAAACCCGCAAGCTTCAGTTAGCTCTTCTTAAGACACCCAGGGCCTTTGTAGCAACTTAAGTCCCACTTAGGCTGATTTCTGGGCTTCTGAGCTGGCAGCTGCATTTGCAGAGAGCCTAGAGCCTTGCACTGCAGATCCCAGATATCAAGTCCATGGCAGAAACCTGGGAAGCACAAGCTCCCCTGGAGCTTCCAGGCTCCCTGCTGACAAGTTGGAAGCTGAGATGCGGAAAACACCAAAGTAACTATGCTCTTGGGATACCCAACTCTTTCGTCAGCTGTCTGCCTGTGAAGTGGGCAGCCCAGGGGAGCCAGCCTTGCCATCTCCAGTCCCAGGGAGTTTGCATGGCAATGTTATCTCCAAATATGCAAAGCCTGTCAAGCTGTCTTCAGGCCAAACAGGTAAGTATTGAAAACTGAGCGAGTTTCAAATCTGTCCCGGAGGAAGAAGTTAGTTGAAAATCAGATATTCTCATTAAATGTTCCAGCAGTTTCTGATGGAAAATTGCACCCTCAAAAATCTTCCAGCAACTTCTGTTCACAACCCCTTCTCCAACACATGGGCTCTGGTAGCAACAAAAAAGAGCATTCCTGGCTGACATGGTCTATGTTGTTTTCCACTTCACCTCATTATACCCAGCCCATTCGCTCAAGTTTCATTTGAAAGTGTGACAAGGAACTGAACTCACTTTCAGACATTCAAGATCCCTTTTTTCCTGACAGACAAAATATTAATAGGCAGCTATGATTACATTTATTGGCATTATCTCACAGCATGTCCTATCAGTTATATAAAGGCAGCATGCGGTAGGTAACAGGAGATGATAAGGCAAGTCCTGAGAAAAGGCACATATTTGCATGACCAGGGACTGAGAAATAACAATCTACAGATGACTTCCATGTTACTAACACTTCAGTACAGTGTGTAAGAATACCCACCTTGTCCAGGAGCCAGCCAGACATTACAGATACTTTTCTGTTGACCTTCAGAGACTGTCACTCATTTCATTGACAATTCAAAATAAATTTAGCAGGGCACTGAAAGTGTTCAGCTAAACTCATGTGAACCTTGACATGACAATTATAGCAGCTTATGCCTTTCAGAAAGCTTGCAAGCTGCTTATCATATTTCCTTTACACTATTCAGCTAAAAGCCTTTAATGGTTTAGCTTGGCGAAAGGCACTGGGGTTCTTTTAGTGAGCCGCTAAGGACAAGTCTTGATACTGTTAGCAACATTTATTCTTGTTAGCAATAAATTTCAGTCTACTGTCAAAGAAACCATGCAAGGCTCTCTGTGGGCTAAAAAGAAAAAAAACAGCAGTTACCCTTGGCCTCTGGACACTCTTGGCTTCCGTGTCTTGTTTCTTCACTAGTGTTTTTAACAAGCATTTCCATAACTTCTCTGCTCTCAGCTCCTTGTGATCCCATCTGTTTGTAATCATCTATAAATGTATCAGGGAGCTGGAGAGTCTCTTCTTTCAGATGAACAGAAGGTATGTGGTGATCTTCGGGCTCTAAACGAGTGTCAGAGCTCTTATCAATTCTTCCTTCCTTCTGCTGGGGATCAGACTCCTTAGCAGATTGGTCTTCTTGCAATTCCTCTGGCTTCTGCTCAGGGTCCAGATTTAGGCTTGATGCTTCAGTTACAGCATCATCATTATCATCATCCTCATCATCATCCTGACAGTTGCTAGAAGGTACACTGCCCTTTGCTGATCTGAAGTTTGTTTCTAGAGCTTTATGGGCAAATTTGTCTTCACTCCTGGTTAAGTGGCTGTGATCGTTTTTCAGTTCTAACATGGTTGACATACAGGGACACGTTTCTGAAGCAGTTTTATTTTTTTGATCAACTGGTACTATTTCTTCAAGCTCAGTTATATCAGGCTCCATAATTAAATCATCTTCTCCAACTTCATCTACTGTCACTAATTCCTCCATATTAGCAGGATACCAGGTCTCACCTTCTATCTCACTTCCACTCTCCCAGTCTCGGTCCTGTCACAAAGATGTAAAACATTTAAGAGATCAGTGATTATAGATGATCACTGTTAAAAAGTGGGCTTTGAACAGCAGTAACCAGGAAGAACTTTGATCTGGTCATGCCTAACCCCTCCTGTATTTTAGTTTCAAAGAATGATATGCCTTGGTGTTGTGATTTTAAACCTTATGCATAAGGACAAGCAATCTCTTTTTAATTATCACAAAAACTTCACTGTGTGGAGATTCTGTAACTGCCTTGGGGACTACAGTCTCTCCAGTCTCCTGCTTCTTACTTTTCTGTAAGCAGTAGAACAAGGCATAACCTGTTATATTTTATTATGCAACTGACACTACTATGTGATCCCCAAGGAAATGAACCTCTCCCCTTCCTCTACCTCCATCCCAGGGTGGAGAGAAATAGGCAGCACAATGAGAATATACTGAACCCCAGTCTAGACACTGTGGCTTTCACTTTGCTGGACTAGGTCCTTTAAATTTGTACAGTGACTGAGAAAACGTGGCTACCTTCTGCAGTCATTTCCTTCCACTAGCAACAGCCCTCTGCCAGGGACTGTGTTGGCAGAGATTGGCCTAGACCTTAAGAAAAATCAGTTTTACAGTTATACTCCAAGGTACATAATCTGAAATACCTCATACATGCAGTTATAGACTTACAGGACTCAGACACTAATATTGTACTTCAGAAGTATTAGAATTATAAGGTATATGTTACTTCTAAGACACACTTGCAGTTTAGATTTCAACTCCCAGAGCCATTGTGTACACATAATCTATTAATAATCTGTATTCTCCTCTTTGGCTATTCCCACACTTCCCCTCCTAGAATCCTAAACCAGCTCGAAAACTCTGGGAGTTGACACTGTTCTTGCCAGGAGATCAGTTTTCCACAGCAACAGATATCAGTAGTTTCCATATCTGACCATCAACCCATGACCCTACAGATATGAAGCTGGAGGAATTCCAAGGACATTGCTGTCCCCAACTGCGATGCTGCAGTAGTGGTGCTGTAAAGACATTATTAATTAAACCCAGAAACAATCAGAAGAGGCTACTATGTATAGCCCATCTAAGGCCAATGTTCTGAAAAGTTTTCATCATTAGTCCCCTCCTTCTCCAAGAGCTGACCACATCTCCTATTTTTGGGCACAGTTCACAGAGCTACACAGTTCACTTGAGCATACGTTACTTACAGTTGCCACTGCCAAAGGCTATGCATGTGAAGGCCTATGCATAGGCAAAGAGCAACTAAAAAAAGAGTTCTGGAGACTTCAGGAAAAGCTATCCCTTAAACCATAGGTGAAGATAAGGCAAGTTAATTTAGACAACTCCCTTCTACAATCCCTTCACATGCCTTTCCATAGGAGTTTAATATTTCAGTTGAGAGAATGTGCTACCAAACCTGGGTTTTCACTCATTTTGTTGTGGAAGCTGCACCAACAATGTGTCACCAACCTTCTCTTTTCTTGTGTTTTCCAGAATCTCTCCAGATTCTTTTCCTTGTTTATTAGCTGAAGGTGAGCTCTTCTCTGGAACTTGCTCCTCTTTTCCAAGCTAAAATAAATACAACATATACATGTATAGCAACACACAGTGGTGCTCTAGGATGTTTCTATTCTGGGTTTAGGGAAGCAAAGTCATTCACAAGGTCACATTCTTTAGTTCAAAAGTTTATGCAAGTCAACTAGGCTGTAGGAAAAGACTCAACAATTGTATTCCATTAACAAAGCTGTACAAATAAGAATTAAGAAAAAGAAATCTGAACAAAATTAGAGAGATGTAATTTGTATTATAGAATTGGCTAGAAGACAGGTGGAGAAGAACGTGAATTTGTTAAAATCTCCAGCCTCCACTCCTCTGTTCTCTACCCGCATCTGTTATATTGGCTCAGACATGGTAAGGAGACCAGCAGTGTTAAAACTCTGCGAAAGACCTCCACTGTTTAGTTTATTGATGTAGGATCAGTTGAGAATGCAACTGCTTGCACAGGTCGTACTTTGGAAAAACAAAACCACACTACTACCTGGCACTTGGTAAAAGTGGGGCAAAGCAGAAGTGTGAGTTCAAGACATTCAAACCTATTTCTTCCTTATAAAATAAATTATTAGCAGTAGTCCCTGTAGAGGTATGCCTTTAACAAAGCCACTTTAAAATAACTTGAAAACATGCAGAGGAGTGTGCAGCACTGGTGATTTAGGATGCTGTCTGACATTTCTCGCTGACATCTCCTCCCAAGGAACCATCTATCACAGTGAAATACCAGCCAAAAGAGAAAGATGACAAAAGGTGGTACAGACACACATATCTATGGCATGAGCTAGTGCTGCTGCCCGTTACAGAGACTAGCTGAGTTACAAGATCTAGAGATTTCCACCAACCTTGCCCCCCCGCATGAGAAGAACGAACACAAGGTGAACTATAAACAACTGAAGATGGCCCTGGAAGCACAAAGTCACAAGCTAGAGATGGACCCCTGCTCAGCAAAGCAGCTCTGCAGCCTCCTGTGCCAGCATCCCCAGGGGTGGATAGCGGCCGTGTAACGCCAGGGGAGGCTGGGGCAGGCACGGTGGCCAAGAGCCAGTAACAAGATCCCCATAGGGTGGGGATATGAGCATGAGCTGTACTGGCACTGAGTGAATGGGGTATCTTGATCTGTTCCCTCTCCACTTTTTCCCAGTGGAGAATGAAACCCACAAATGCTGCCATTTTACCGACTGGGAGTATTTCTCCAGAGATCCCATAATTTTACAGGTGAGCTGATTCAGTGGTTCTGCCATGGGAAGTGATTCCTGCTAGCACATTGAAGGGAGTGGTGTGAATTATCCCTGCCACAGCACAGGGTAGGGACATATGATTAATAGAAACCAATTGCTCTGCTGAGTTGATCAAAAAGAAAATGTTCTTCATTAAAAGTTCATTCCCCATTTTAGCAGTATAACAACCAGTTCGCTGTACTGTCCTACAAATATTGCACATCCCTGTAAAATACCACTTAATTCCCAGACAACTCAATCTACATCACAGGCAGTGGAAGGAGGTGATGGACACAGAGAGAGCAGCTATGGGGTATTCTGCATAGACTTAGAAGAGGGAGCAGTAGGGCAACTGCCTCTGCACACACAACCTGCATGAAAACAGCAGATTGTCACTTGGGTTTGTTTTCAGTTGTCTGTCCCCTTCCCCTCAGTGGTTACCCAGAGGTTCTGTGCTTGACACAGAAAGACAATGTCCATGTGCCCAACACTGCAATAGTGTAATAGATCTGCATGATCTGGGCAAAGACGTGGGCAAGATGACCTCCCAAGATCTCTTCTAGGACTATAATCCTTGATTTTCTCATGGAAAACGTTGCCTGTCACCAGCACCACACCCACAACAACTGATCTAAAGTATTTCCGAAAATACGTTACTTGAGCATTTACCTTCTTCTTACATACAGTTTGAAATCTCTATTTACCTCATTCTCAGGAGGTTTGGTTTCCTTCACATCACTGCCTTCAGCAGCAGCATCCTCCTCTTGGTCTTTTTCAGCTTTCTTCATCTTACTCTTATCACTTTGTTTTTGCCTGGAGCCCTCGGATGCTTTGCTGTGCTTCTGTTCAGCTGCCTCCTCCCTGGCAGTGTCCTCGCTGTAAGAATGTCTGCGTTCTCTTAACTTTGCCTCTTCCTTTCTCTTAGATCTCCCAGGTAAATCCTGCAGCTGCCTCTGAAACTTGTCAGATTTTGACTTAGAGGTTTTTCGGTAGTAGTCATCTTCCCTGTTCTTGTAGCCAGATAAAGGGTGAAGGGAGCCAGGGGAACCACTCCTTAAATATTTTTCTCTGTGTCCTCTGCCTCCTTCAATCCGTTCATCCAAATCAAGCTTGTCCAGCTGTCGGGAATAATGTTTCCTCTCGTGTACCCATGTGTCAGTCCTGTCCCTCTTCTCATCCCCATTCTCTCGCCATTCTCTGCTGTCTCTTTCCTCTTCCCGTCGAGAATACGGGGACTGATCCCACAGCTCTCTCCCATTTCCCCAGTCGGTCCTGCCAGTCCCCATTGGGCTGTGGGGTGAACTGCAGGAAGTAAAGCTGGGAGTGTGGGATCGAGGTGACAGGGAGCGGCTTATGGGGCTGCGAGAGCGGGGCCTCTCCGTGCCATACCTGCTGCAGAGGGAAAAGGGAGCTGTAACTGGCTGACCCACTGTGGTCTACCAAGTTCTTGTACCCTGGAGACACACAGGGACTGCCCTGGTGCCTGCAAGCCTGAGACCCCAGCCTTTCACAGATATGCACTGCACAGCTGCAAATACAGTGAACAGGAGAAAAGGCAGGGTCATATCCACAGAGCTTAACTAAATCCCCACAGATCTGTCAAGAATATATTCATTCATTCTTGAAAGCATCTCATAGGGGTTTAGCATTAAAAGCTTATAATATGTTAATACCTTTACAATGACCCTAATGTCTGTATCCTTAATACTCACTCATCTAGGGCATCTCTGAGACAAAAGTGACAAAAGTCATCTGTTTAAAAGAGGTGTTTTAGGACTGTGGTTCCTCTCCATTTTTGCTGAAGGTTCAGAAGTCAGGCAGATCAGAACTATACCCAAATACATTTTAATTTGAACCAACTCCCTCCTGCTAGGTCTCACAGCACCCCCAGCCTTTACGGTTTTCACTCGAGGGGGAGGAGAGGGGAACAGCTTCATTTGTATGTTCTTCACGTCAGTCATATTTTCTGAGTTGTCATCATCATCAGTAGGAAAGAGTTAATTTATTTTCATAACATACACAGTTTCAATCTGATCTCATGATATAGGCCCTGTACCTACTATTGTACTCACTTACATTTTTACAATTATTTGAAGTGAAATCCAAAACAAGAAAGCAAATGACTTAAGAAGGGGAAGCACACAGATAATGCTTTTTCTACCTGCAGGTTTACAGACTTACCCGGGTCCCAAAATTCCAAACTAGGGAGAAACTTTACCTGTCCACTTCACGCAGCAGGTCCCTCTCCCTCTGCGAGTGGATGTCCTGGATGATAGCAGCCACATTCTTACCTGGTTTCTAAATAAGAGAAAGACACTGTTTAGCATGCTGCAGTACTCTCCAAGCTAATATAGGTGATTTGTCCTTCAAGAAACAGCATCCATGCATCATTCAATTATACTACTACTGAGAAATACTCGGTTTCAGTGTTGTGGTCACAGTCTTTTCTGCAGCTGGTTTCTCAATAATATGATCAAAGCAGTAAAATGATACAAATGGAAAACTTGTTCCAGTACATCGTAGCACTGTCTCCTCATACTTGGCTGTTGTAACAGGCTTTCAAAACTAGCTTGTCCTTCCCTGTTACACATTCACTACAGGTTTTTTTCTAGGAATGGCATGTAAGAGGAAACAAACCTGACAATTTTTCTAATATCCAAATTAAATATGTATAACAGCCTATCTCTGATTCTCTAGGAGTGAACTGCCTTCTCTTCCTCTCAGTTTAGCTCATTCTGGAGTATAGCTTTAAAAGACTATATTCAGACACAAGAGCTTCAGAAAAGCTAAGTGCAAGAAGATGCATAGTGGAAGTGTTTACTTGAGATTCAAGATCATTTACAAAAGATGCACTACTCGAGGCCGGAGTGCATGCAACTTGTCAAACACTTGGAACATGCACAGCTGAGCAACATAATCATGCAGGAACTCAGAGCAGTCTGAGCAGTAAATAGCTCATGTATATTCCCCCTTCCCTGTGGCACTTTTGTTTGTTTTTAACAAAGAGAAAGAGCTTTTGCTCCTGCAGAGAAAAATAATTCCATGACCTGAAAAACTGCCATTGGAAAGGCTGAAAATCTTCCTGAAATCTAGGCAAACTACCACACTCTCCTAGGTAATTCCTGTTCCACCTTTATGTTAAGATGCACAGTCTCCGGCACCTTACATCTGAATCCCTCACTGTGCCACACTAAGAAAGACTGCCCTGGTTTACAAACTTTTGGCAACTCTTTTAAGTCTCCTTGAACTATTATACACCTACAGGAAAAAGACTTTTCCAAAGGTCAAAACAGACCATCCAAGTTACTTGTTTTTCCTCAGGGCTCATAAAAGGCCCCTTAAGCTCTTAACTTGGAACATTACAGAGTTATTTTATAAAATAACTTTGTGCTGTGTTAGAGAATACAATATGAAGCTTTTCAGCTCTGCATTACCAGTTCCAGTCCAAGTCTCCATGAAAAAAAGATACTCTCTTAGCATTACACAAGGCAGTACATAAGCTTCCATAAATATGCTCACAAGAGCACTGATTTTTGGACATCACTCAGGTATCCATATCAGAAGTGTCACACACTCTACAGAAAGTCCAAAGACTATTGCCCTGTTGTGTCTCTACGTGAAGAAAAAAAAAAATCTTGCTTTTTAATTTAGGTCATTCACAAGAAAGAAAGAAAAAGAAGTCAGTGTGATGTTTAGCTCTGCCATCACTGCTTGGTATAGAGATTGTACTATGGCTCAAGCATGCAAGCAGTGAAAAGCATTCCTTCAGGCTTAATGCCTGACTAAAAGGATAGGACTGTCTTGTTTTTGCTGACATGTTGTATCTTACACATGGCTGTGTAAGATTTTAGGTTTTAGACCTTTGTTAGACCAAGCAATGTGGGGAGCCTGCTCAGAACGAAGCTCAGAAGGGATTTTTGAAATAATGGTACAAGAGGACCAGAGAAAATGGGATCTCTTCCAAAAGTTAAAATTTAGAACAAAAGCAAGCAGCTAAGTATAAAAGATCGTTAACATACATTCCTTAACTTACCTTTCTTAATTTCTTCTTCCATAATATTAGATCATTAATTGGAAATCAGTAATCAGCAAAGATTTTTAGATGTATTCTCCAGGACATGCCATGAAAACTTAGGAAATCTGATCAGGAATGACCATCTTACCTTCAGCTGCAATTCCTTGTATCTTTTAGACATCCTAATAAGTAACTTGTCATCATTTATCATAGCAGGTTTTTCTTTGTAGTACTGTACCATGGCTTGGGCTGCTTCACTGTAAGCCATTTCCAGAAAGGCCTAGCACAAATGGGGAGAGATTTGAAATCTGCTACATAATTAAAAATACAAAGTCTACAAGAGAAAACGCGGAACAATAATTTTCACTTGGATTCTTCTCATGCAAAATGTCTTAATAGTACAGAACAGGGTAGGTGTCCAGCCCTGGAACTGAAATAGTAACACTCAGTCCATTTCTCAGCCTCCTTTTAACTACAGATAATGGTTTCAACCTAGCCATTAAAGCTGATGTGCAACTTTAGAAGCCAGTTAGTTAAAAACGAAATGACTGGAATCTAATCTTTCTTGATATATGAAAACATCACCCTTCCCTCATTTCCTCATCGGTACTTCTACACTATGGTCAGCTGCTAACAGGATGCAGAACTGCAACGTTGCAGCACGCACTGCTCCCGAGGTTGTCAGCTGTGTCTTGCAGAATTGCAAGGGATCCAGATAGAAGCAGAACATCAGAGCATGAGCAGCCACAACAAAGCCAAAAAAAGAGTTTAAAAAACTTGAACGATGTTAACTAGCACTTTTATTTACACGAAAATTGCATTTGATGTGACTACAGTTTAACTGGACAAGGAATATACTCATAGCTGCATAATGACTACATTTTGAAACATTACAATGTCAAACACTGCCCACTGGCATGGATTCTGTACACTGTCTGCTCCAGGTATTTGAGAGAAGATTTTCTACTCTTCCCAGCCTACCACCATTGGTAGACTTAAACTATTTAAGGTAGACTTAAGCTACCCTGAAGAAAGAGCTCTACTACAATTCAGTGCAGATTAAAAGGGAGAGTGAGGTGTCAGTGTCCCCTCTAAGGGCACAGCCTTCCTTTAGCCAGTGTGCAGCAGAGCACTCACTGCAGCCATGGCCCAGGGGCCCTGCCACCAGCCTGGAACTGTAACCACACCATGGCGGGATCCACCTCTGCTCTAACAACAGTTCAGCAGTGTCAGAGAGCCAACCCAGGCTACAGTGCAAGTCATTCTTCAATGCCCAGTTCGGCTCTATGAGTATGGGTAAGAATGAAATAAAAACCTCTCAAACAAAACAAGAGAAGTCTGAAAGTAACCCTAACAAATGGCTGAGAGAAGGCGGCCAAGTTATTAATTTTTTTTCCTAAATTGTTATTTTTAAAAGTAGTTTTACAACACTTCTTCATTAAGATTTCTGGTTTTTTTTAACAAGAACTATGAGGCAGTGGTCATGTTTATGCCATCATTTCATTCCGCAAACACCAATTTTTGTTTTACTTTAAGAGCTGGCTTCATATATTTAAGTTTCTGTTACCAAAAAAAGAGATTTTCCCCAAAGACTTTGTCCTCATGTCAGTATGTCTTTATGCCAATAGATGTCAATACCAGTGACCTCAAATACACAGTACCTGATTAGTGGATTTCATGAGGATATAGTTGGTGACCTTCCCAAACGGGAGGCCCAGGTTAATGACATCATTCTCTGTGCAGCTTCCCTCGGGGAGGTTGCAGATGTGAACCACTCGACCCAGTGTAGATTTCCTCTGGGGAAACTGGGGAAAAAAACCAACTCAAAACGATGTTTTTATCTTAGATATTCCATCCACTAGATAAGACCTTACATTTCTGAAAAAAAATGAAATGTTCTGTTCTGCATACCTGTTATTAAGGACAAATACTCTTCTTTAAAACCTTGTATTTTAACATCCTGGTTTAGAAATACAAATGGGAAGGAAAATGGTTTAACTGCAGTGCAGCTTGCAATGGAGTCTCCATCCCTGGACATTACAAAGTCAAGAGGGGATTTCTAGAAGAGACACTCTCCTTCAAACAGGATTAACAATATTGCTGCAAAAGCTAACTTGCCACCTGAACCTTATGGACGCTGGGGCTTCAGCTCCCTTGCATGTCACAGCAGCGGGCTGGGCTGGCACGGGCACAGGCCACTGCATCGTGCTCGGCACCAGCGAGAGTTTGGAGGCCCCTCAGTGTTTGGAGATGGAGGGTGTCCCTGCCATGGGGAGGTCTCAGCCCCTTCTGACGAGCTCCATGCAGGGCCGGTACCCATCTGGTATGCCAGCCCTCCCTATGGCTCCTCTGCCAAGTCACACAGCCTTCCCCAACCTGTCTGCATCTGTCAGTGCCACTCGAGACTCTGTACCTTCCCCACACATGAAGGCACCACGCACTATTGCTGAGTAGAAGGCCATTAGCAGATAGTTTGCAAGCAATGCACAAAAAACTAGTATTTTCAACTATTCCATAAATGCCCCTTTATGTGGTGCTGGTGGTGCCTGGAAATTAAAACATGCTCACTGCTGTACCTGCTGAATTTATGGATGTTAGAAATCAGTTTAGCTGACTACAGAGGTGTTCAGGATAGCAGGGGCTGAATTTAAGTCCTCCTTCTGCCCTGGTGGAACAGACTGGGCCGAAGGTCAAAGTGACCCCATTTAACTTGTGACAGGACACACGGCTGTACCTCAGGTTGGCAAACCTACTACTTTCCCCTCACATTGCAACAACACACAGTGGGAGAGATTTCTCCCCTGAGGGCACAGTGACCACTGGACATGCAGAGAGGCAAAGGTCCTGAATTGGGCTGGCACAGGCACAGGGCGCCGGTACGGTAATTGCTTCCGAAGGGTGGAAGTCTATTTTGGAGTGCTGGGGCAGTTCCCAAAGAGCTGCCTGTCTCCCTGACATGGAAAGCAGGCTCTACACTCCTTGTGCAAAGAGCCATCAGAGTATACTTGGAGGGGAACATAATTTACCCCAGCTAATGACACACAAAACATTGCTCACATAGGATTAAGTCTTGCCAGACTACTTCCCTGTTTATGACCTCTGCTGTTAGGATTTTAGTGAAGAAGTAACTCTACCTTCAGTTAAAATTGTGCCATTCAAGGGAAGATGCAAATCATGTAATCTTATGGGATCAAGTTCACCAGAGCCATCACAAATGTTTGGCTTGTCAGCAAGTTCACAAGTTACAGAGCTAATGTTATCTTATTTACACCTTCATCTCATTACCTTCCCTCCAGGCTTCACCACTTAACCATTTGTGTATTTTTGCTGCAGCAAGACCCTGTATTATACAGTGGTCTGCTATTTAGCCTGCATCTTACAGAGCCTGCCCAGGTACATCAGGTAAGTCAAAGAAGTGCAAAAGTCCAGAAGTAAGATATTTTCTCTAGCAGAAAAGTAAGAAAGACCTGATCCTGAAAAAGATGAAGCAACTCAACTCCACTTGAACAGAAAGGGAGGTGACGGCTGCATGCATCTGGCAAGGCAGCATGTAGCACACAACAGAAGAATGCAACTACAGCTAGCAGACGAAAAGAAAGCTCTCCTGACATCAAATGCAGTCCCAGTGTAGGAACACCCCAGGTCACCTGGCACCTTCTGTTTGTTTTGTTAGATCTCTTAAGAGATGGTATGTTAAGAGTCTATGGGGCTAGAAAGACTTAGCTGTTCCCCACGTAGGCTCCAGAGCCTGTGTTCGGACACGCGCTCAGCAGTACATTAAATCAAATGACTGTAAGATGTTACCACCTCCCCACAATTGGCAATGGTCTAAATTAAAATGCTATGCCATAAATCTGCCGTAATTCATGATTAGGAAGTGGTCACATACTCGTATCAGAAGTTGATGGGCTGTACCAAGCAATAATCTTGTCAACTGATTGAAGTTAAATTGGATTCATTCCTTAAACAGAGTTGTAAATCACAGCCAGAAAAGGAATATACACCTTCCATATCCGCAGTCAGGAAGTCAGAGGAGCTGTCGTATGTCAAGTGTTGAATGTAATTTTCAGTAAGACTCTAAGTTAACTTTCTTTGCAACCAATGTCTACCGGCATTTACCAATGCAGTTGCACAACTACTACAGAAATAATTTGATGCACAGCAGTGAAATGCACGTCATACCATTTGCCAATCCAATTTGGTTATTTTTTATTACAGCTTTTTTTTTCTGTTTTTTTTTGTTTCTTGCTTTTCAAATTCTGTATCCCTTTCTTGAGCTTTGCATGTATGTTTTCTGAAGATAGTAAGAAACTGACAGTCCCATCCCTCCAGTGCTAATGGCTCTCCATGCCCGACTGAAGACTTGTAGCACTGTCTTTGCCTTTTGAAGAGGGATAAAGTTATTTCCAGATGGATAGCACAGAGCAAGCTCTTCCAGAAATCTGAACACTTTGTTTATGATTACATGAAGGGTCAAGTATAATCTCCCACTGCTCAGTTAAATGGCAGCAGCTTAACTGAAAGTGAATACTACCGTGCAAAGGTGGGTTATGGAGTGAATGACAGCTGGCAAATTCAATCTTAACACCTCTAATATAGCTCCCTGTTCACCCGATGAGCTTCTGAAGAAAAAGAGGATTTACAGTGTCCAGGAAAATCAAAGTTATTGTTTCTTTTATCTCTCATAGTACTGCAGGTCATTCAGAAGGAGGACTTCTGCAGGCAGCTTAAATGATAAATAGTGACAGATTCTAAGGAGAAATGATACTGGTATTAGCAGTAATTTCATTTGTTGCGAGGATGACAGACATGATGAAAAGGAACATTCCTCTGCACCCGCTGCTACTCCACCTCTGACCTTGGCAGCAGCTGTCAGGAGCAGCTCTGCTCTTTGCTCCCCTGCACACACAGGGGAGCCTGCCTTCTGTGACAGGCAGAAGCTAAAACCACTTCAAATAACCTCTTGCACAGCAAAACCACACAGTAGAAAATTGGTTGCATTAAAAAAACCTGGGTGACGTTTCTGTAAGCAATGCCTGATGCGAACTGGAGTGGCACAGGGACACAACTCAGCTTGGCTTTCCAAAGTGTCTGAGACCACATCAGGATATATACTCAAAAGCTAACAAGGTGAAAACTTGAACCCTTGGATTACTGCCGCTATTCCATGAACGCCCTAACATGAGTCCTTGATGTCTCCAGCTTTAATCGTAGTTTTCCTATACATGTTGAGCTTCATTTTAACCCTAACAACTTTGTATTTCCATTATGAATACGATGTGCTTTTATTTGCCTTTTTTCCCTGTGGTTTTTTTTTTTTCTTTTCCTTTTAAAAAATCTTTCTGCTTTGTCAGTGTAAGAACCACTTTTAATGATATCCTTTTTTCTGGCATTTTTGATTATTGGGCTAGGAATTCAAGTGCTCGTTAGAGCAATGTAACTGGGGACCTGTGTTGAATGCAGGGGATGCTAACAAACCAAACCCATGGAAGGCTGTATACCAAAGCAAACTTGCCAAAAGGCTACCAGTGGCAGCAGATGATATAAATAGCAGACTAAAATAAAGTTAGTCCAGTATAATGAATGGATCTGGGACCTCCAGGTGAGTAACAGTTAGCGAAGCTGCAGCCACTATCTTTCCCACTATTGCTACCTGGGAGAAGGACCCCAGCATGGGAGAGGCAGAGCACAATTTCTACAAATAAATAACCGGAGAGATGGAAGGCTGCTTGCTAGGATCATTACTCAGAGAAAGAAAAAACTAATCCAAATCTTCATTCCAAACTGAAGCTGACCTTCCTGTGTTGAAAAAACTCATAAAATGGGGGGAAAAAGTCAATGGGACACACAAACCACCATTTACCCCCCTCCCCGAATCTCTCTAACAAGTTAACAACTTCTAGCACTGGGAAAAAAAAATACAATCAAGTTCTGATGTGGCCAAAATCAAAAGCATAAAAGAGCTTCAGGGAAGTTGCAATAACAGACTGAATATTCAGATTATTGTCTAAAAGGAAGCCTTCATGGTTTTAATTCCAGTAAGTAGAAGTGGCTTCTACAAGAATCTCGACATGGAGATCAATTTGCTTAGGTACTCACTCTTACCCCTGATGGAGGAGAAGAAAATGTAGGACCTGGCTGGCCAAAGGATCTTGCTGACGTAGTGATAAAAGATGCGCCGACATTTGGTGGATAATCTAAATAATGGATTACACACATTTAATGAAAATCTTGACTCATATTAATGGCACCAGTGTGCTCAGTAAGCAATGTCCCATTTACATAAGAATTAATTTTATAGTCTCTACACCAAATTATACAATGTTTCATTGTACTGTGAAAACAAGTCATTGTTTGAAAGAAAAATCAATTCATACTTTGCAAGGCACAGTATTGACTTTTAGCCTTTCTGTACACAGCCTCTAAAAAGTTTTCCTTTAAACTTGTATCACATTTCATTTAAAATGTCCACTTTTCCCCACAGACTGCCTTCCCTTTCAATTAAAAAAAAGGTCTTTTAACTATTGCACATACAACCATTCACCTTCGATACCAGATGGATTGAAAACTGCTGCATTGTTTGGTGATAAATGCAATGTTCCATCTGCTGAGCTTAACACACACCGGATACCAGTGCTGGAAAAGAAAGAAAAGAACTTTAGGAGCATGCATAATATACCATAAATATTAAAGCACAATTATTAGACAGTAAATTCCTGGTGTAAAGCCACTGAAGTAAGGGATGCTGTGTTAGAAATTCAGTTGGAAGAGTGTCTCTAAGATAATACTTACTTATCTGAAAAAGCCATACATTTTTGGAGGTGAAGACTTCCCTTAATGTGCTGATCCCAGTCCTACGTTGAAACAAAGAGATGATGAGCGTAGGAAAAATCCCAAGACAAATTTACAAGAGATTGCTTCTCCATTCAGATTACCTTATTCTAAAAACAATACTGAGATGCTGAAGATCAAATTGTGTGATGCTGGAGCCAAGCACACCTTCATCTAATGCATTTACTGATTTGTTATTTGTAGGTTAAATTATCAGTTACTTTACAAAAGGAGAGCTTCTCTGTATTAGTTTTGAAATCCGGTATATTTCTATTAATTCAGTTACTTCACTCTAGCTGAAGAGCTCATCTGAAGAGCACCCTCAGCTTCTGCACTGTCCATAAAGAAGGTGCTCAGGACACACGGCGGACAGGACAGTGCTTATTCGTTTCAATAGATGAGCAAAATTTGTCAAAGTAGATTTAGCTGTTTACACTTCTATGATCCAAATGAGGCAGTATATTAAACACCAACAAACAGATCAACCAAAACTCACTGTAATGATATTTCCCCTGCCCTTTTTAAATGTTTAGCGAAAAAAAAGAAATGCCTGGTGTGCCCTAGATGAGGGACAGCCAGCCCTGTAACTGCAGTAACCACAGCAAACCCTTTTGCAAGCAGCTGCTCAAAGAGTAAAAGGGAAACATGAAAAAGCAAATATATTCAAATATCCCAAGCCCCAGGGTGTGTAAGTATCAGGTACTATTTCATTTGCTGGCCATCTTCCTTCCTATACACATGCTGTTGTAACATTTTTGTCAGGCCACTATCAGTGTTTAAACACATACCTTCACAGTTAGGTGCCGGTCCTGCAATGCAATGGGAAAGACCACGAGGACAGAACAACCCCAGCCAGAGCCCACGAATGGCTGTGAGGCTCAGAGGGCCACATAAGTGGCCTTCTCCAAACCTGACCTATATAATGTGACCTAGCACACACGCTCTCTGGGCAACTGGGAAGCTGCTTCTCAAGGATGAGGTTGAATTTGGAGCTCCCTTGGCTGTATGAACAGAGAAGTGGGAGCGTGGTCTGCACTACACGTGCTGAGCAGCTTCTTGCTTCCAGGCCAAAGTCACTGGGGACCCTGAGTCCTAAATTTTCCTTAGAGATATTAGAAGGAGGAGGAGATCCCAACAGAGGAATTATTAAAATAATTTTTATCAAAATGCACTGTTTTCTTTAAGCCAGCTGCTTCCACAAGGCTGTTAGAGGGAAGCCTTTGGGATCAGAAACACAAAGAGAAAGGGAGAGGCAGATGAAACTGTAGATGTGCGGTTACAATACCAGCTTGAAAAGCAGGGGACTGGCTTCAAGCTCCTCCTCCCCTTGCTTTGGGCCCACAAGATGAGCTGCGACCCAGCCCAGACCTCACGTTTCTCACACCAGTGCTGTAAACTCACCATCTTTCACTGCGGGATGTGGAACAAAACCAGATCTTGAAGCCCCAGTAATTGCCACGAAACAGATGTACAACACCTTAAGTGAAACTGTGGGCCTTTGTTTCCACTTCTCTCATGGCACCTTGGCGGTGATGGACACTGATGGCAAG